GCACCACCAGCCTCCAGCCTCCTCACTGTCCGACTCAAGCGCCAGCTGCACAGGCTGCTGACGCAGCACCACACCAGCCTCCTCGTTGTCGGAATCAGCTACAATCTGCACAGGCCGCTGACGGGCCACAACAGAGACAGCCATGGGAAGGGCATGCCTTTGAGCTCACTAGATGGCAAGATTTCAGGGAGAGGATCTGGCGTGAGCTCATCCAGTCTAATCTAGCGGGACAGGCAGATATTCTTACAGAGGGGCAATCCTGAAAATAACCGAGTCATATGCTATGTAGGGTTTTCAAGGTGATAACCAGCACCTTGAATTGCAACTAGAAGAAAATTGGGAGCCAGGACAGCTTGCACAATAAAGATGTAACAGGAGCGAACCTATGGGAACCTAATACTGTACACTCTGCTGCATTCTGGACCATTATGTCTTTCATATGTGTTCATTTTTCAATGGTTGACTTGACCTCCAGTTATTTCCTCCCAGGGACTAGCTAAATAATGAAGCCTGAAGGAAGTAACAGAGTGCTTTTGGGATACAGAGAAACTGCCTTAATAAAGAGAATGCCTGACAAAGACTGTGAAAATCTGTAAAACTGTATACAAGGTGAGGGGTCTGCTTTAGGAGTACTCCATGATGAGGTACATAGAACAGCCAAGCAAATGTTGTTCACTGCACTGAGATCAATGTAATATTTCCTTAACCTTATTCAGAAGAATCTTCCTCATTAGACCTTTCTATCGTTGCATGCATTCAATCCTTTAATAATAGCTTCTATTAATTCTTAACAGAAGTTTAAATGTTTTTTTTATTGTAAAAACAATGTTTTCTCTTACTGCCTGTTTTCGAATGCAAGATGCAAATGTATTCCTCACATGTAAGAACCAAATGCACATGATAGTAAATATCAATAGAAAATAGTTGTGTATTTATGAGAATTCGTTCCTGAAACATATTTGAACTGAAACATTCAAGGAATACTGAGTGTGTCTGTATTGTGAACTTGAATTTCATTTCAAGAAATTACTGACAAAAACTAACCAATCTTCCAATCCAGTTATTAATATTAAATTCAGTTTTTATCTTCTAGCCACATTGGCATGTCTGGAACGAAGCAATCTGTTAAGAGAAATTTCAATCAATCTGATCTATCAGCTGGAAAGGAACTTATATAGGTAGCCCTCGACTTACAATCAGAATTGGGGGACAGAATTTCTGTTCCTAAAACAAGGCAATTGTTAAGTGAGTCACACCCAATTTTACAACTTTTTTGGCAAGTTGTTAAGTGAATCACTGCAGTTGGTAAATGAATCACGTGGTTGTTAAGTGACTCTCGCTTCCCCATTGACTTTGCTTGTTGGAAATCATCTGGGAAGGTTGCAAATGGTGATCATATGTCCTTGGGATGCTGCAATTATTATACAAATATGTCAGTGACCTAGTGCCTAAACTTTAATCCTGTGACTGTGGGGATGTTGCAACATTCAAAAATGTGAGAACCAGCTGCAAGTCACTTTTTTCTGTGCTGTTGTAACTATGAACAGTCATTAAACCAATGACTGTAAGTCGAGGACTACCCATCTATTGGATATAATGCATGGAAGACCAGTCACATGATTGTGGTGAAATCCACAGTACAAAACTCATTTCATTAAGCCACCCTGCTCTGAAGTAGCTCCAAAATTGGATACATGTGTGCAAATGAGATGAATTGTACATATTCTTTCAACTATTTAAGAAAAGGATACAACATTTTTTAAATGCAATGAATTTTTAATATATAAACCCTGTTTTAAACAAACGGGGGGGACCCTTTTTCCTGGCACTCAAAATATCCACTATTTGTATGATTATTTATTGCACTTGCCAGGCCTCTATACATCCTTGCTTTCCATATGTGGCTACCTCCAGGAGAAGTATTCTGGAGCATCATTTGATTTTGTTTTAAATACCTCGCTGCTGTTTTCATTTTTTCTTCACTTCCCACACCCCAACCGAAGAGAAGTTGTACAACAGTTGAAAATGCTGATGGCTTAACTTTTCAATATTTTTCCACGGCAGCCCTGAGGGGGTTTAACTCTTTCCACTGTGCTGAGATCTTTCTTTTGGAGTTCAATGTTTAACTCAGGCTGAGAGACTCATAAATATTCGGAGTCACTCTCTCCCTCTCTGTTTGATTAGGAAATGAGCATTTAACTCAATGTAATCCCCAAGCCATTAACAAAAAAGCCCTCAACAGCTCCACTATTAGAATTTCACTTCTAACCCACCGAGGATTGAATTAGATTAACATAACTACCAGCAATCTGAGTTTATTTTCTGTGCCAGAAAGAAATGTATTTTCCAGGAAAAAAAAAGTGCGCACAGCAGGGGAAGAGAAGCGATAGAAAAGAGTAAGCATAATGAAATGTAAAACTGAGATATGATAAAAAGACAGGGTGAGGTATAAGTGAAGAGATAGCAGAAGAAAGTGAAATAGATGGCTGCATAATCTTTTTAAAATGTGCGGCTCCCAAGTCCTCCTATTTAAAAAAAAGAAAGAAAAAGATAGAGGCCTTCATGATTTATAACTAAGCAATTCTCTGGCTGATATTTCTTACCTTCCAGATGTCCATTTCATCATTTCAAGCTTACAAACACAGAAGAAACCAACAGGTACATTTTACACACCTGTGTGAGGTTCAGCTTTGCATGCAAATGTTGTAGAATATTCATAATTGGAAATTCAATAGAAAGAGGCTTCCTAAAACAAGTCAAGGGCCATAACTCATGACTTTATTCATGACTTTAAAGGCAAACAGATAGAAGAGGGAAGGCTTCCTTCTCAGAATCATGAACAGACTCATTAAAAACTGAGAAGAAAATTCAGATGGGGTAGAGCTGGGACAGGGTTTGAGCCTGAAAATAATAATTGCTATAGAAGTAGCTATTAAGCAATATCAATCAGCAAGGTACCCAGTTAATATTTCAGAATGTTCTTATCATTTATCTAGGTATCCATAAAGGCAAAGAAGAATGTCCTATACTCCCCAAAAGGACTTGGGTTTTTCAAAAGCAAGAAAAAGAATCTACTCGTTGAACAGAAGGGGAAATAAGTAGCAGATCACACATACATTCAGAGAGCTAAACATACCTCTATGCATGCCAAGAGATACCTCAAAAATGCCACAAGAAAATAGTTTAAAATATTTCCTTCAATTACCCAAAGGCCAGCATTTTTAATAAGTGAGAATACTGAGATGGCTTATCAGTAGGGATTTCCTCTTGTTTTGTATATGTTTGTTAGTGAAGAAATGGGGATTACTAAAACCTGCAAATAACATTCATTTTTAAAAGTAATAAATGTAGCAAAAACAAGTCTAAAGAAAGGTGTTCTTGAGCATAGTCTATGTTTTTAATCTTATTGCAAAAAACAAAAACAAAAAACCCTTTCCTTTTAACTGCTAGGTAAAATCACATTTGTGCATTTGTCTTCATGGAAAAATTCAGGCCACCATTCCTGAACATGAAGAATGAAACAAGGAAAAAGTCTAGTGATGATTTTATGTAAAACCAACATACAATGGCTTGGGACAGAATAAATACATTTAATTTTGTATTTGAATAACAAATAAGTACAAAGAATACTTGATTAAATTGCTAGATTTTTCAGGATTCTAGGTTACCTTCCTTAACTTGGTTTCTATAGAAATATGAATCATTCTTGAATTATGTTAAATTGCATTAAATAAATTTACAGCCCCTGTTGTATTACACCAACATAGACATTTATAGGGCTCCCTTAATTTTTTCTAAGAATAAATATAGCACAATAAAGTAAACTATATAAAGTATGTGTGAAGGAGTAATGTGTTAACTGTAAAATTTCAGTTCAACACGAATGAGGAATTGGTTATAGTGAAAATGTATTTAAGATATTTATCAACATGTTAACTATCCTCAGCTATTTTATAACATTTTCTTCACATTCACTCTGACTTAATATAAAATATATATTTGTCCAATTAATGAAAAGGCATTGTTTATTGCTGTTCCATTAAGTTAATTCACACTCTTGAAAAAATAGAGGTATCTTTACAAATTGGACAGATTAATTTTATGATTACTTTAAAGCAAATGGAAAAGAATTTGAATAGGAGAATTAAAAGGAAAAAATTAAAATTTGCAGCTTTTAAAAAGCATCCAATAAGAATTTATTTCCTATTCAATAAAATGAACTGAAAAGGAATTTAATTAGAAATTTACAAAACTGAGTGATAGCTATAGAATTAATACAAATTATTCTCACTATATAAAAATATATACCTATAAACAGTAATTACTGATGTTCTTTGCATTTTCAATTGGCAATTATCTGCAATTTTGCTTGTATAACAGGCATATCACAAAAATAATTTTTGTATATTTAATTTCTTAAAAGAATTCACTATATTAACAAAGATAATCTCTAAATGGTTTCCACTCTTGGGACATCATATACCAATCAAGTACACATACACATAGAGCTCCAAAAATTAAAAAAATATCCCCTTTTCACATGATTTCAATACATTTGTACAAGTGTTTGCAGTGATCAATATTGAGATGTACATTTCTTACAAGAGGTCTTTAGTGCTAAAGTTTTTTTTTCCCTTTTCAGATTTTACAAGGCTGCTGGAAAATTGATTACCTGTCCTTGATAAGCCCTTAAGCCAAGTTCCCTTCCTTGTTGCCATGTGGAATGCTGGCAATTTATTTGCATTTCCCAATGAATAGCATCTGGCACAAACTTTCACCAGCATAGTTCAAAATAAAAAGGAAACCTGAAACTATTGTTAAAAGTTCTGAAATTCCCCTCTGTGAGCTTCCTTTTAAAAGGCAACCGACAGGATACGAATCCTATCTCCTGCTTCAGTTCTGTGTTTGAAAGGGTATGCATCCATAATTTCAAGTTCAGATAAAAGAGCAAATATAACTGAGGAAAAGAAGCTTGACACACACACCCCCAAGATACTTACATGCTTTGGGCTAAGAAACCCTCAAGGTAGGGGAGACTTTTCTCTCAGGTGTTGCTGAGTGAGTATCTTTCAGTTCTGCTTGCACAAATCAGGAGTCCCTTCCGTGTCTCTGGCTCTCTTTGTAACTGAGGACACAGCACTCTGAGTCCCAACCTATAAATAGATCTCAGCTCCGTGATTGATATTACAGGCAGCTGACAAAGAAAAAAAATAATAATAAGTAGGTCTTAGGCAAAGCAGCAAATGCTGGATTCTGACTTCACACTGCATCCGGGAAGGAATCCACACACCCCTCCCAAGGTCCTAGGTGGGCTCAGGAAAGGAAAAAGTGTAAAGCAATTACTTCCCCAGCAGCATTGCAGGGAATGTGAAGCAAGGAAACCAAAATGAACAATATCTGATTCATGAAAAATGCAAACTGCTAGCCAGTCTCAGATTGGTCTATGTCTTCAGAAACAGACTTGCCAGGTCTCAAATATACTTTTTCTTCCCAAAGCAGAAGATTTACACCTTGGCTGGCTCAAGCAGTTTTCTTTGACAGAGGCTTGAAAGGAAAACAGCTGAGTGGTCTCTTATTAACGTACCTGTTGATCACTCACTGCCAGGAGTTTCTCCTGAAGAATATTGTCCTAGCTCAAGGCATTTCCCAACAACGATTAATCGTCCCATATGCTGTAACCACTGTAACCATTGGTAATTTTAGAGTCAAGACAAAGTTGAATGAACTTTTGTCATTCCCTGATTTTATTGATTGTATACAAGTTAGTTGCATACATATTGCAAAAGAGGAAAAAAAAAATAGTAGCTTGAAGTATACTTGGGAGAAGGGACAGAATACTAATAATTTTTTTATATAAAAGTGGAAGCCCATGCAGATTTATGGAAGTCATCCACTGACTAAATCTTTGGGACAATGCGCACCCTGTGAAAGTTTGAGAATTATCCCCCAGAAGTTGTTCAGAAGTTATCTCCAAAGGGCAAAAATATTAAATATATGAGGAGATACTTTATGAACATTATTAATTTTAATTACAGTTTATGGCCTGACCATGACTTTTTCCCCCTGATCCAGATCTTTTTATTGGTTGACTGTAACATTGGCCCAGAAAGACTTACATGCACCAGTTTTGTCCTACAAACATTGGGGCCCATGCATTATAGCAAAATTAAAATAGCAGTGGCGATCAATCAAACCATATGGGGCCTGTAGTCCTTTCAGCACTGCTGCAATCTGATAAACTTCACATCTGCAACAGATTGGCTACCATACTCGATGTTACAGTTTGCCATATGGTTATATATGCTTCTGCATTTGTGTGGGTAGATCAGAATCTGACGCATTCCAGATGTTTCCACTTTGTGGAACTTTAGCAAAGTTTTGCACCTGTCAGAATAGTTATTACTAGTAGAATGGGGCAGGGAAGTTCAGGCAAAGAGATTTCAGCTATCAACCTTTGTACATTTAGCTTCACAAACATCCTCAAACAGAGAGTTTCCCTAAACACCAGAGAGTTGTCTCCCATATCTTGGAAAATTGTGTTATATTTAGCACTGTACTTCTAGCACTGAAACCATGAGTACTTTGCAAGACATCTCAATATCCTCATAATAAAACAGCTTCTATTTCGACCGATGTCTTAACAGATCTCATTCAGCAAGGAAATGAAACTACCCATGAAGGGAAACTGAATTCCTACAGTACTTAATTTTCTGACACTAAATGCTGGAGGGTGGAACTACATTCAAGCCGATTTCTCTGGCTTCCAGACTTCTGCCCCCCTTGGAGCTTTCCAAGGTGCTAGTCATCAACTTGTCTAATTTCACCATGTTCTTTCTCTGTCCATGGAACCTGGATCTAGTGGTGATCCAGCAATGCCTAATATTTTCCTCCAGAGACTGATAATGTCGAAAAAGTATTCCCTTACCTTACATTTCCCAAATCTGCTATGGACAATTTAAAAACTGCTGGGAATTTAGGCTGAAATGACAAACTGGTGGCAAGGAGAGGAGAAGAGCAGAAAATATAATACAGGTAGTCCTTGACTTATGACCACAATTGAGCTCAAAATTTCTGTTGTTAAGTGAAACATTTGTTAAGTGAGCTTTGCCCCATTTTATGACCATTTTCTTGCTACAGTTGTTAAGTGAATCACTGCAGTTGATAAATTAGTAATCTGGTTGTTAAGCGAATCTGGCTTCCCTGTTGACTTTGCTTGTGTTGTGGCTCCATTACTTGAGCCTGTGTCATCAGCAGGAGAGGACTCCGAGAGTGAAGGAGAGCAGTTGGCAAGGCCTCCCTCTCCAGGACCCTCCTCTCTGGCAATGCCTTCGGTGTCCGCCGAAGGGCAAGAGATAGGGCCGGGGCCAAGCACGTCCATGCAGCCACAGGTGGACAGTGATGAGGGTAATGAGTCTTGGCTGGATCCTTGGCAGCGTCGCAGAAATAAGCGCACGCAACAGAAGAAAAGGCATGCCAGAGATTAGGCTGAGTCACTGGACCAAACCCCACAGGGTATAAAAGGGGGTGAGGTGGCCATTCAGACTCTGTGACGGACAAAACTAACTACTATCAAGTCACATTGCATCTGTGGAAACAACATTATCGGCCTTGGATTTATTTTACAAAATGGACAATTCTTGACTGTGTGTATTTTGTTTATTGAGTAAAAGTTCTTGGCAAGCAGCTACTGGGTTGCTGCCAAGCGTCTTATCGGAAGAATTGGTTGTCTGCCAGTTTATTTAACCCCCGGCTGTCTGTTTGTGGGTGTGTGTGTGAGACGGGGACAGAACAGCTTGTCAAAAGGTTGCAAAAGGTGATCACATGACCTTGGGACATAATAATAGTGATAAGTATGAACCAGTTGCCAAGTATCTGAATATTCATTACATGATCATGGGGATGCTACAAAGATTGTAACTAAAAATGGTCATAAGTCACTTTTTTCAGTGCCGTTGTAACTTTCAACAGTCACTAAATGAACTGCTGTAAGTTGAGGACTACCTATACTACCTATACTAAAAAAGGACTTCAGGTTCTGTGATGCTGTATTTCATTTTTAAAGAAATCATTTTAGGTTGATTCACAATTGCAATCAGGATAGAAGAAGAACCACAGGTTGCATTTTCATAATCACTCACCTGTAAATTTGGGGGAATCCTTGCAATATTGTAGAATGAACCAGTTTATCTGTTGTAAAAAGGAGTGATGAGAAATAGTATGAACAATAAATCTTAATTAGCCCTTTTAAGATAAACTGTAGTAAAATATGTAATACCACCAACAAGAAATAGTTTTAATGGCAACCCAGAAGCTAAACTGATGTTATTAAGTTCATATTTTAACTTGAAAATGTTAACGGAATATGGAAACTTATTTTATGCTGCCTAACAGAATATAACTTTTTTCACAGTATCCCTCTTAAATATTTATCTATTTGTTTATATTTTATTTTATGGCAAAACAAATCTCCTCACAGAAGTCTCAGGTATTAAAACATAAGAACAATACAGTTATTGAATTTCAATGCAAACAGCTTATGATGTTTAATTATCGTACAAAATTCTGTGTAAGTTATACTTGCACTCACTTTGAGTGTGGGAAACAATTTCTAAGCAAAGTATATGCAGATGGATAGTAGATGTGGGAAAAGCGAGTTGTGATCATATCAGGTTGTCATAATAGGGCACTATTTCATTATAAGACCACTGAAAGCTGCATTAAAAAATTGCATTGTGAATTCTGCTGTTCAACATTCTACCCCATGCTTTTCCAGCAACAGAATGTGTGTCCTCATTTTCTCCCCAAAAAAACAAAAAGGAAAGGAATGTAGTTAAATCCAGTTTATACAGAATTTACCGTATATAAACCTCTTCATACCTATCCTTGCAAACCATCTTTGTTTCTATTATGTCCATATACCACTCCATATACCGTATTCTCTCTTTTTGAGTATTTTATCAATCTCATTCAAGACTAACTCAATCTTGCATCTCCCTCTGTGTCCCCTTCACTTTTCCTTCATATATTTATTTTTTATTTGATCTTCAGTAAGTAATAGTAATTCTTTCTATATAACCAAGCTGCCTCAACATACTTCTTTCATATTGATCTCTTATTTTTGTATTCTACCCACATTCATTCTCTACCCATTGATTCTTGGCCTTATCTCTTCCTGCTTAATCACAAACACTCCTTAAGTATGTCTTCTCATTGTGTTCAAATTAATTTTACATTTCTTCTGACATACCCAACTCTCACTTCCATCTAACCAAGTGGACAAGCTTGTACACAACTCTTATATGTAATTAGTTTCACTTTTTAAATCAACATAATCCTTCACAACAGATTTCATACTATCCATAGCTTTTTTTACTAGTGTTACACATCTTGAAATTTCCCTATCCATTTATCCACATTTTATTAAGGCACACTATGTGATTTGATGTAGTTTTTCACCACTTACTATGACATGCAGTCATTCATTCCCCTTTTCCATTACACACAACTACCTTGGTCTTTGATTCATTAATTTTCAAATCCATGTCCTTTGTTGCATCATGCAATCTAATATTTGCTACAGATCATCCTGCTTCTCAGACAACAATATGGCATTGTCTGCATACAAAAGTGTATCTGCATTCACATCCCCAACCAACATACCTCTGCTGTCACCACAAGCATTCTTTAAAATTTTCCTGTAAATAAACACCTTAAATAACCAAAGGGACATCATATATTCTTGTCTTACTCCTAAATGCATGCACCATTCATTTCCTAAATTTTGCTCATTACCACCTCTCACACAATTTGATCAGAATTATGCCAATCCCCCTTCCAGGCATAATTAACAAGCTAACCCCCTGCAGTTTTTGCATACTCTGTTGCTACTTTTCTCTTTGTTTCCTGGAACAAAAAAAAAAAAATTTCCAGGCACAGTGGCAGTGTTTACCCAAATGTTAAATATGACACATAGAAACCTTACTGGAACATTTCTTCAGCTATATCATCTACACCTGCAGCCTTACCTTTTGCCAACATTCTTACAGTATTGATCCTTCCATTTAATCCTTTTATTTTGGTCATTAAAATTATATTATCTGTTTCAGTTCTACAACTCAACAGATCACTATTATTTAAACACAGGTGTCTAAAATACACTCCCAGCAGTCTCTCATTCCAGTTTCCCCTCAAAATATTTCATTACTTTTATCTGAATGCGGTTCAGTGAAATGGAGGCTGCTT